AAGTTGTGTTATTTTAGTTTATAATGTACAGTTTGGATTTGATGGATTTAACTCAACCACACCATATGTCATTATATTCTACTATTTTACGTTTAGTGGTTAGCCTCGCTTAATTGTAATGTTTTCCTAATTCAAGTCCAGCCGTTTCTATTTATTGTTCTATTTTACTCATTGCTTTGTTCAATAGAAATTCAATTTGTTTCCATATAAAATCCATGGCTATCTAATCAAACTGCGAATGCATCAATCTTTTCGCGATTATTTTTCATGCGTTCGATGAAAAATTCGTTAGCAGCTGTTCGGTGCGTCCTGCCATTCTGACGCGTGCGTAAATCCTCCTACTTTCCGTTTTCGATCGAAACCAGTGAATCTGTCTGATTTTAACTAAATTTATTTCTTTTTCTTCTTTCGTAACCATTTGTACATTTTACAAATATATAATTTCATTTTAAGCACATTAGGTTCTCGTCCTCGTCCTCATCCTTATCCTTTGTAGTCGAATATTCACCATATGCGGCGTCTGCGTTTTTTGCGTTTTACTATAAAATTAGAATTAGAGGGGTTTCGTTCGATTTATTCTCAAACAGGACACGCACATAAAGTACAACACGCAGGAGATGTGTATTAAGTGCTATGCCCAAGCCCAAACTCGACATAGTAACTACAATGAAATCTATTCTTCTTTCATATTTTGAAAGGATCAAATCAAATTTCCATCCAAAGTTGGTGGATTATTTGATGAATGTGCGTGCGGCGTCTGTCATGTCAACTTTAAAGTCTGGGCATGCGTACGTAACATTGACATTGGGTGTTTACGTTCGTTCGGTTGGAAAACACCTTTTCCCTAACGGGATTAAATGTTCATATGACGATGGAAAAATAATCTACGACAACAACAAGAACAACGACAAATTACATTGGAAGAACCAACCACCACATGAAGTTTGCCTGAATTTCAAGTTTGTCATTCTATTGAGTGTCCCGTGGATTGTGTCTATAATTAACAAATTTTTATTTGAGGTAATCTGTTATTATTTATTTTTCTAGAATAGTAAAATAGACCGAAATTCTGCAATTCAAATGGAATCAATTTTATTAATAATTTGGGATTAAATTTTAAGTTCAAGAATGGTGAATTTTTAGTAATAAAGAAAGATTTGAAAAACCAAAAACTAGTAGGAATTGAAAAAAACTTTTTGTCATCATTCTCTAGAGTAATTAAGTCAGAAATAGAATAGCTCTCAGTCACCAGGTGTGGTTATTTAAATTGGGATGGTGGCCTTGTACACCAAATCCCACTTCAGAACCAAGCTTTTAGCCCAATTTTGACAGTGTGCTCAGTTACTTATATTTATTTTTATGTTTCAATGAAATAAAATTAAACAAAATAACTCTTTTAATTAATTTAATTAATTTCACTTACCAAATAATGCTCTTCATATTGCTTAAGTATGCTAGCAGTCATAAAGTGCTAACAAACGCCACTAAAAGTAAAAAAGAAAAGAAAAAATAGTTTATTTTAATTATTTATAATAAAAAAAATTATAATAAACTAAATGTTTTCTTATTTTATTGCTTTAATAAAAACATTTTAATTAATTAATTAATTAGTTTTATTAATTTAATTAATAAATATTTAATACAATTCTGATCTGTTTTTTTTTCGATTTTTAATTAAAATAGAAATAATGATGTAAATCTCATTTCCTCGGGGTTTCTCTATATGTTGATATAACTTATTTCTAGAGTAATAAGATCAGTAACAGAGTAATGAACTCATTAATGGAGTAACAACTAATATAATAGAGTAACATAATAGTAATAGTGCAAATCAGCAACAACATAATAAATTGCGAGCGCATGTTTTCTGTTTTTGGGACTTTAAAGTCCCAAAAGCTGGATTACAGAGCTTGGTATTTGTGATCGTTAAATTCCCATTAAATTAGCAACTAACTAATTATTGCTGGTTGGTTAGTTTGTTTTACTAGCAGCAGTGCTTCTTCTTCTATCAAAGCGGTATATGGGCACGGTTACCACAACTCGTTTATAAAAATCTTCGTTTTAAACCCCGCTAAAATATTTCTTTTAATTAAATGTTTTCAGTTTGAATGAGTTATCAATACATGCATCTCAAATGAATTACAGTATATGAATCAGAAAAAAAAAATCTTTAAGAAAGATCTCTAGTCCTGCTATGTAATCTCAAAATCAACAACAATGTCTTCAAACTACTAGCAACAGAAATTAAACAAGGTGACTGTTCAGCTCTTATCTTAGTAAGGTTTAGTTCGGATTACCCTCTACCGGCACTCGAGGAAGAGACACCGAAGTATTTGTTGTGTCTATGTTCAGGTTTATTCAAAACCGGGCTTAAGTTTTTTGGTGTGCATTCTTTAATTTATTCGGCAATATTTCCAACAATTACATTTTCCAGACACATATCATTCGGCTGGTTATACATTAAGACCGAAAGGTTTTCGGATATTCTCATTTAAAATTCGCGCGCTGTATATTTTTCGATATTTTAAGTTTATGTAGTTTGGCAGCACTGTCCTTAATTACTATGCCAAAAATGAGCGCGATCTGTCAGACAGTTCGTTTACGGCAGCTGTTGAAACCAGTTCACCTCAGTAGTGCGTTGCGAAAAAAACAATGGAAAAAAAAATTGAACAAAGAGTTTGCATCAAATTTTGTGTTTCGAACGAAATTTCGTGTGCAGAATCGTTGCGAATGCTACAAAAGGCTTATGGGGAATCAGTTTTTATCGAAAACTCAAGTTTATGAGTGGTACAAAGCCTTTCAGGACGGTCGTACGACCGTCGAAGACATGCCGCGTTCTGGACGACCTTCGACCTCTACCACCGACGAAAACATTGAAAAGGCAAAGGAAATCGTGTTCCAAAATCCTCATGTGAGTGTTAGAGAGATAGCACGAGAGCTAGGCATCGGTCGTGAGATGGCTCGTTTGATTTTGGTGGACAATTTGTGTATGCGACGTGTCAACGCTCGGCTTGTTCCGATTCACCTCAATTTGTTCAACATTATCAACGATTTTAAGGCCAAAAATTCAATAAATACCATCGAACAGCCACCGTATTCACCTGATCTTGCACCGTGTGACTTTTTCCTGTTTCCCAAACTCAAATTACCACTCAGAGGAACGCGTTTTGAATCCATAGAAGACGTAAAACAGAATTCGCAGAGGGAACTCAAAGCCATACCGGAAAGCGCCTATAAAAAATGTTTTGATGATTGGAAGAAACGTTGGCATTTGTTTATCGCTTCTAATGGAGCATATTTTGAAGGAGATAAAATAAATATTGATGAAGGTTAAGAATTTTGCGTTTTATTTAAAATTTCCCGAAAACTTTTCGGTCACAATGTATTAATTATCAATTTTCTACCCACAATTCGATGGAGGAAAATTCGATTTACCTTCCACTTTAACTTATTTCTCTCACGAGTCAAAATTTCTCAAGAACTCAGTTTGATGTGGTTTTTGGTAAAAAAGTATCAAAGGACCTTATCACCTTGAGAATGAAATTTATGTTGTATATATTGTATATATAATATATAGTCTACATATATAATTCTTCAGTCAGTTAGGTGATATTATATTTTAACGTAATTGTAATAATATTTATTTACAAATAAATTTGTTAAATTTATAATATATTAAGATCGAATTTATGTCCTAAAAACGATATTCTGATAAATAAACTGATAGCGATATTAATATTAATAAATTCAGATTATAATATTTGTTGATTTTAATATTAATAAAAAAAAACCATACAATTCTTAATAATTAAAAAAATTTTGCCTAAACAATTATAAATATGTTTTTAAAAAAAATATAGCAAATCATTAAATTTCAAATTGTATTTGTGGATTCTATCGCAGTTAATTGCACTGTATTACCCAGGGTTGACGTCTGAGCTAGAAACTTAAATATGGAATGTAAATTAGCATTTATTTTAATACGGTCTTTGCGTAGACTGCATAAAAGACCGTATTACGATCTACATGTTTCACGGCCTTTGCTGAGGCACCACGATTTAAATTTTTTTTGAATTTTACGTGAAATGATAAGGAAGGTAATTTTTTAAATATACTGAATAAAAGTAAATTATTTATTCAGTTTTTTTATGTGTTATTCCATAAAAACAAAGATGATTTCTGTAAAATATTCATACATTTTTATTTTATTTTATTGTGAATGGGAAGCTTGTGCATACCACCCAAAAATTATGCTTCAAAAATTAAATAAAAGAACAGAAAATGCAATCCACAACAGTTTGAGTTTGATTATAAAACACGCTCTACATATTTTTGGATCCCTTTAAGTTTATTATGCATTTCATTTACACTGTTAGAGACGCAACAAACTCATTGTCCAGTTCCAGACGCAGTCATCTATCATTATAACAATGCTAGATCACACAAATATTACATATATAAGCTATTAGGACTTACATAGGCTTCAAGTCCACTCCGATATCCCCCGCCGTTGGAGACTTATCTTACCTCTGATAAACTTAACCGTTTTCAATAAGAATCGAGATAGAATAGTTAGGAGTTAACTTCTTATTATTCTCTCTTCAAACTCCTAAAAGTGGAAATCTTCTAAGAAGTAAACTCTTTATCTAGCGTTATGCTGCCTAACCTAAACTACAATCTGTAATTAGAGTCTTAAGGAGATGGACACCACTCTTTGGTGAACTTTGTAGAATAACTTTAGTATAATTTCCTTACTATATGGTTGGTTTATTCTGCCTGGAAATCAGTCGCTGTTTCCAAAGTTCTTTTTTCTGATAAGTTGTTTAAATAATGAAGCTTAATTCCGTATCTGATATAATTATATCAGATGCCGTATCTGATATAATTATATCATCAAGCAGAGTAGTGCAATATCTGTTTAACACATAAACTCTAGAATTTCCTGCAATATAAGGCTTAACCGAAAATCAAATAAAAAGAATATTTATATATTTTTCCCACCATTTTTTTATTTATTTTTTTTTTTAATATACTCATATAAAAGTATATTAAAATATTATTGTTAATGTACATAACAATACATGGATTAAACAGCTGTACCGAACAGAAACATTATCTGCAAATTTAATGCATTCAGTCCTTTTTTTCAAATGGAAAACGCATCCATTCATGGCGCTTAAATAGGCATCTATACGATTTATACCATCTATTAGACAAGTTGAACCAAACTTGTAACAATAAAAAGAACACATTTAAGTTTCCAGTTCCAGAGTTTTGTGGAAATTCAGAGCTAAAAAAACATTTTTTAAAAATTTTTTAAGATTTTATCAATTTATATACACTTACCTATAGAGTTCTCATCATATTATTCAGTTCCTGTTTGTAATATGTTGTAAACATTCTCATGTAAAAGTTATAACACTAAGCATAGACCCGTAATAGCTGAGGATCTGTCTCATCATATGTTCTCATCATATCAACCGATTCCTGTTTGTAATATGTTGTAAACATGCTCATGTAGAAGTTATTAAACCAAGCATAGACCCATAATAGCTGAGGATCTGTCATTAGTATTTAACTAACATTGTTAGTAATAGAAAAAGTAACAATTTCCTATGATCTGGTATCTTCATTGATTGTCCATTTGGAGTCCATTGAAATTTTTAAATATTCTCTACCAGGCGACAAAGATATATTAAGACACTACAATGTGTGCCAATAGATCACTAAGACCTTGAAAAACTGCAACCCACACTCTAAAAGTCAAGTCCTGGTCTGTCTGGCACTGATAAGAAAATTAACAATTTTCTTACACTCTCGGAGTCCTTCTCAGTTCATAAACAAGCATTACTGAAGTTTATCAATGCTGTACTTTAAGAAAGTACTGATAACAGAGTCCAGGTCGTACCGGAAAGATTACGCCACTGAAATCCAAAGGAATTGTGAAAAGCCAAAAACCTCACTTGAGCTCAAAAAGGGCCTTTTGAGTTTTAAACCCCGCTAAAATATTGAGTTTATCAATTCTGTACTTTAAGAAAGTACTGATAACAGAGTCCAGGTCATACAGAAAAGATTACGCCACTGAAATCCAAAGGAATTGTGAAAAGCCTTATTCTTCCTTAGGATAATAAAATATAAATATAAAATATAAAAGATATAATAAGAAGATATAGTAAATGCAAATGAGTTGGATAGAAATGTTACCATATAATTTACCGTCTCAGATGCTTAATAAGATACTCTAAACATCAAAGTATCCTATCCTTGTTCTTGAAGAGAATGAATGGTTGTTGAATAGCTTTCAGTCCCTAAACCCTGGAAATATAATGGAAGTAATATTAAGCATCTTACTTTAAGTCCAAGTTCAGCGGTAACCACAGCTGCGGTGATTTGCAACCCTGAAATAGTTAATGATTTTTATAGGTTTAAAGACTTTTAGGTTATAGAAATGAAAAATTAAGTTTAAAGTTGCACTTACTCTGAAATATTGACAGATCTTTTGATTTTGTTTAGCAAATCAAGTAAGCATGTTTGTTGTTGTCCAAATTTTTTTATATTTTTTTTTTTTGTTTTATGAAAAACTTAGCCGAGATCCTTTTTGAATACTTGAATCTTTCTGAAGGCCCGACACAAGTCATGAGCTTCTTCATCGTAAGCATTGAAGAAGTGCTTTCCCCTAGGTGGGCCTAAAAATAAAAATTAATGAAAATTTAAGAGATAAATAATTCGTTACTTACGTAGGGTGTTTTTAAGTAAAGTTTTTTATTGTAAATTTATTTATAAACCTCACAACTTGGAGGCTGTTTTAATAATAGTTTTAAAAGTACACATATTATATTCATTTAAAAAATATATTATCCAAGCTTTCGCGGTACTTGGAATTTAAGTGAGAAGGGATGAATTAGTAACTGTATTCCATTTTAGAAACAAAAATATAACCGAAACATTCATTTTTTTTTTTAATTTTGAATTTTGAATTTAGTTAAACTTTTTCTTAGGAGGAAAATTATGTTCTATACTCAACGAGAAATAATTTATAACTAATATTGTTCTTTAAGGTTAAATTTTTATCAAAAATTTAAAAGAAAACTATGTGTACTTGATTGAGAGAGAAATTGATTTTAATATATAAAAAATCAAAATTTTTTTTTTCGTAACCAATAACAACAAAATGTCATTGTGATAAATATGATTTATTAACACTAAAACTTGATTTCATTATTTTTCAGTCAGCGTGCAAAAACTAGAAAATAGATTATATTCCAAAATTGGTTTCGGCACCGTGTTATGATATAGATGCAATATATAGACCACTCAAGTTGGTTCGATGTTATATATGTGAGCAAGCATTGAAGTTAAAGGGCTAGACACAATTTCAGAACAAGGAAGTCTAGTGGGGAGGCTTGAAGATTGCGAGAGAAACTCTACTGAGAAAACTGCAACCGAAAGAAGAAAACGTTACGTAGGTAAAATGTAGACGTTAAAGACGCGACATTGAGGGTAATTCGAATATGTCGCATCAATGAGCGAGAGACCTGCCTTAAGAAAAATGAAACCAAAGGAAGAAAGTATGTTATGTAGGCATGGCATAGATGTTAAAGACAAAACCTAAGGGGTTATTCGAATATGCCACAAGAATGACCGAAAAAGCTGTCTTAAAGGAAATGCAACCGAAAAAAAGAACTACGTTATATAGGTATGACGCAGATGTTCCAGACAAAGTCTGAGCAAAAAAGCTGTCTAAAAGGAAATGCAACCGAATAAAAGAAGTACGTTTTGTAGGTATGACGCAGATGTTCCAGACAAAGTCCTAAAGCAGGTTCGGATATTTTATGAATATAAGCAGATGTTAAAGTATTATCTCTACAAATAATTCTAGGAATAAGAATCTCAATTGGAAGTCTTGAGTATTGTGAGAGAGCTTTCTTAAGGAAAACACAGCCCAAAGAATAAGGGTGAATTATAAACTACAGTAAATTGATTTTACTTTAATATTAATTTTTATATTCTTTTTTAGCTTTGGGTATAAAAGAAATCTAAAAAATTATTTACCATCCAAATATAAAAATATTAATAGGAACATAAAAAGAAAGTAAAATTTTAGCAAGAGACTTGTTCTTTTTATGCCGCACCTCGAAAAGATCGAACACTCCTATTGATAAATTTAAATATTTACATTAAATTTATATGTTTTAAGATACTTTAATAAGAGAGTTTTTTTTTACTGCACTATGGAGCGTTCTAATACTCCTATTGATAAATTTAAATATTTATATTATATTTATAAGTCTTTAAGATACTTTAATAAGAGAGTTGTTGTTTTTTACCGTACTATGGAGCGATCGAATATTCCTATTGATAAATTTAAATATTTATATTATATTTATAAGTCTTTAATAGACTTAAGCAAGAGAATTGTTGTTTTTTTGCCACACTATGGAGCGTTCTAATACTCCTATTGATAAATTTGAATATATATATATTATATGTCTTTAAGATACTTTAATAAGAGAGTTTGTTGTATTTTACCGTACTATGGAGCGATCGAATATTCCTATTGATAAATTTGAATATTTATATTATATTTATATGTCTTTAAGATACTTTAACAAGAGAGTTGTTGTTTTTTACTGCACTATGGAGCGTTCTAATACTCTTATTGATAAATTTAAATATTTATATTATATTTATATAAATTTAAGAGACTTAAGCAAGAGAATTGTTGTTTTTGCCGCAATATGGGGCGTTCAAATATTTCTATTGATAAATTAAAATATTTATATTATATTTATAAATCTTTAAGAAACTTTAGTAAGAGAATTGTTGTTTTTTGCCGCACTATGGGGCGTTCAAATATTCCTATTGATAAATTTAAATATATATATTATATGTCTTTAAGATACTTTAACAAGAGAGTTATTTTTTTACCGCACTATGGGGCGTTCAAATATTCCTATTGATAAATTTGAATATTTATATTATATTTATAAATCTTTAAGATACTTTAACAAGAGAGTTGTTGTTTTTTACTGCACTATGGATCGATCTAATACTTCTATTAATAAATTTAAATATTTATATTATATTTATAAATCTTTAAGAGACTTAAGCAAGAGAATTGTTATTGTTTGCCACACTATGGGGCGTTCAAATATTCCTATTGCTAAATTTGAATATTTATATTATATTTATATGTCTTTAAGAGACTTTAGCAAGAGAGTTGTTGATTTTAGTAACATTACGAAGCGATCGAATACTCTTATTAATAGTTTTAAATATTTTTTATTACAATATAATATTTAAATGTTAAATTTTTAATTTGTGGATTTCAAATAAAAAGTGTGTTGGCAATACTAAAATATGTGTTGGAGCAAACCGGAGTCGAAGCTCGATTGCCTCCTCTTACGTGTGCAGCAGCTGCCGGTCATTTAAATTGTGGAAGGGTTAATTTATTTATTTTTACTTTTATTATATATACTAATTATTTGTTAATATAATAAAAAGTATTAATAATAATATTCTTGGTTTTGTTGTCTTTTCAAGTGAATAAAATACAATTTATAGAATCAAATTCACTATTAGTTTGGAGCGTAGAAAATATAATCCACAAAATACATTTATTTCTCAATGTATTTGTAAGCTTGCGCACATGAACATGTGGTGTGGTGCACAATCTTATCTGCTGCCGTTTCCACACTTTGGTATGAATGAAGCGATTAGGCTGTCTGCTGTTTGGCCAACTGAACTGAGTAGCAGTAGTGCTGTTGTGCTTCGCAAGTGAAAGGTGGTGTTTGTTGTTGTCGGGAAACCAATTCAACCAATTCAACCAAACTAAGAGCAGAAAAAATAAAAATTCGTGGTGTAGCATTAAAAGAAATATCATTCTAAATTGCGGGAATTTTTTTACAAAACATAAAAATATTCCTCTTTTAATTATTAAAAATGTCACTCTACAGAATTGCGCGTAAATTGCCAGAGGCACAGGTGAGTGTCGACTAAAAAAGTAAAATAAAATAATTATTGTAAAAAATTGTTAACAAAAAAAACAAAAAACATCACGTCACTCGCTCAACTTAAGAACAAAACCATGCCACGCTTTTATTTCAAACACAAAACAAAAAAAAAAGGAAAGGAAAATACCTACGTTGTTGTTGTTGTTGGTGGTGGCTTTAAATCCAGAATTAGAATTTCGACTAAAACGTGGTGTTACGCTGCTTTAGTAAAATCAATGAAATATATTGTTTTTTTTTATATTTTTTTGAATAAATAAAAAGAAAAATAAAATTTTAAAAAGTTTAAAATAGGAAGAAAGAAGAGCTCGTATTTTTCTATTTTTTTTTGTCTTCTATAGACGTACGTTTATAACACATTACATAATATCAAAAAAAATTTGAAGAGTTTAAATTTTTACAGTGTGATTTTTATTTCTAAATTTAGAAATTAATTTTATTTTCGATTTTCATTAAAAAAATTTTAAAAATATTTGAATTTTATATATTATATAAATAAATTTACATATTTAAGACAGAGTTTTTTTTGGGAGTTTGTTGAACTTCGTTTTGTTATGTGTACGTGCACACGTTTTGCAGGCATTGTTGTTGTTGTTGTTGTTTTTAATATGTGTTGTTGTTGTTTTTGTTTTTGTTTTATAAGTTCAAAATATGACAAAATAAACGCTGACTGTCCCTTCGTTTTGCTAATAAATTTACCTTCGCTTTGTTGTTGGTAATTTTTTTGGTACTTTTTTTTTTGGTATTTTTTCTTATTTTTTGCTTTGTTTATGGTTGACATAAAATTTTCGTTTAATGCCAGAAGTGCAGTTTTTTTATGTTCTAAATTTTATTTAATTTTTATCTAAATTTAGCTGATCAAATCAGTTGTATAAATTTATATTTTTATTATCTTGAATTGTGTGTATGGATTTTTTTATTACTATACAAATTTTGGAAGTTTTTAAAAATGTTTTATAAAATTTTTAAAAATTTCCTCACGTAACGCGATAAGATTAAGGGAGAGTGAAAGGCTTGAGTTTTGCTTGCAGTCTTTCGAGCAAAAATAAAAACTAAATTTAGAAAAATAAATTTAATTATTACATAAAACTTAAAAGGTATAAAGAAAAAACAAATCTTCAATATATGTTATAAATTTTAAAAATAACTTATAAATAAAAATAATAAATTATATTATAAAGTAATAAAAAAATCAATTCTTTAATATATGCTATAAAATTTAAAAACAATTAATAACTAAAAATAATAAATTATATTATAATTTATGCGAATAAATCAAACGTAATGTCTTGACGCAATAAAAAAACATTTAAGTTTACTTACCAACCCTACGCTACGCTACGCACTGCAGAGGTGACATTAACTGTCATTAGAAGCAAATGCGGAAGCTAAGCAAAATTGTTACCTCAATTATTTAGTTTTAAATATATTATTTTTATATTAAAATAATTCACTAAATTCTCTAATAAATGCTAGAATAACGATATTTATATATTCAAATATTTTCATATAATAATTATGCAATATTCAAATACTTAAACTCTTCAGCGTAGTTTATACTTTTCTTACTTGTATTACCTTAAAAGGGAAGTTGGGTTAATAAATATTTCGTATAGAAAACTCACCACGCTTTAGTCATATTAAAACATATAAAGCCGCTAATGGAAACATTAACCCTTCTGGTTATATTAAGTAATAAATAGATATAATAAACAAAATAGACGAAACTTACTAATTTTTGTAATTTGTTTTTACATTTTTGGATTTCTCCCCAATCACAAAACGCTGTAATAGAAAACAGAATAAAAAATAAATTTTAAAATAATAAAATATATATAATAATAAATTATTTTTTTAATAATAAATTACTCTTTTAATATGATGTAATTATAATATTAGATATATAATCATTATGTCTTGTACGACACATCTTCAACCAAAACCCTGTGTTACAAAATCAAATATATAAATTAATTAAATAAGAAATTAATGAAAAAAAAAATTTAGTAAAAAATGAAATGAATAAATAATTATAAAAATAAATAAAAAAATAAAAAATAAATAAATATTATTAAATATTAAATTAAATAAATATCGTCAGCCACAAACCTGTGCAACAAAATAAAATAAATAAATAAATTAGACAAAAAAATTGTTTAATTATAATAATTAAACGTTATTGGTACTATAAGACTCTTCTGGTCGCAGTACCGGCCCCTCGGCGATTTCACGCCAATAGCTTTAATAAAAATAATAATAAATAGAAATTAATGAAAAAAAAATTTTGAAATAAATAAAATAAAATTATTCATTAAAATGAATAAAAATATATTAATATAAAACGCAGAATATGGCGATATTAATAATATTAATTTTATTCTTAGCACATATACAGAATATAATAAAAAATAATAATTATGTTATTAAAAGTTTTTAATATAAAGTAATACTTTTCCATCACACTTATATATAAAAAAAGAAAAACTTAATATAATTTTTTGAACTTTTTATGCCAGTCAGTTATTGAAAATGTTTTTATGGCACTTTTGGCAGTGAGTTAACTAACAACGTTGACTGCAATAGTGGTAACAAACTGCACTTACAAAATGGGAGAAAGTAGAATAAATAGTGCCTCCTAACAGCACTTAGAAATAGAAGACGATTTTCACAGAAATGCACCAACAACTACGAAACAATTTCTGTAAGAAACATATTTAATGTTTAAAATAATAATGACACTACAGTATAATTATGTTAATGGTATCAAAGATAAATTAGATTAAGGTTATCGGCTGCTCTAAAGGCACATAAACAATTTTATGTTTATCTTGTTAAACATAAGCATTTAATCGGATATACATTGTGACCGAAAGGTTTTCGGAGGTTCTCATTTAAAATTCGCGCGCTGTATATTTTTCGATATTTTAAGTTTATGTAGTTTGGCAGCAACTGTCCTTAATTACTATGCCAAAATAGAGCGCGGATCTGTCAGAACAGTTCGTTTACGGCAGCTGTTGAAACCAGTTCCCCTCAGTAGTGCGTT